ATATAAAAAGGTTAATTTTGCCTTATCTGGACATATAAAACTTTAAGATTTATATATGCGTTGATAAAATCAATCAAAACAGGGCGATCATTAGTGTCGGCGAACTCTGAATAAAAACTTCGTTCGCAAGATACCATAATGCATATTAAAATTAGCAAAGGGTAACGTTCCTGGAATAGCCTTTGGTTAAATTGTAGACTGTGTTTTGACTCAGTGGAAAAAAATAACTATCCCAACAAAATTCAGACTGGCATAAAATAACTGGAGTATCGAAATGTCGCGACGCGACATTACTTTATTTTTATATTTACGTAATTAACTTTTGCATATTTTAAATATTACTCTGTGAAGTCTATCTATACTTCTATACTAATATAATAAAGCGTAAACACACACTACTTCGTGGCGTGGGATGTTAGCAATCACAGCTTGTTTTTGAATAATTCTTTCTTAAATAAAAAATTTACGACACGCTTTAGGCTATATATTTTCACGTTATTGTTCATGTGGGAAAAGGACCATAAACTATAAACTGCCAACATTAAGGAACCAATTTTATCATGGCAACGGTAATTGTTATTAAATGTCAAAGGCTTTCGTAGTTCTTTGTGCATATGAATTTTGAAATTTGCAATTGAGATTTTGACAGATGTAAACAATAAAATAAAGCTTTCATAATTTAAATAGGTGAAGCCGCTTTGCAACAGCTAGTCTAATTAATCGTGAACTTGAGTTTACCCATCAATCATAAAATAGCGGTTAATAATTGATAAATGTTGAATGCAACGAAACGGACAACGTATAACATTATTAGTAGTAAAGATAACATGCAATAATGTCATTAGGAACAAGTGGGTGCGTTCATTGGTATAGCATCAACATCACAGACACAATTTATGCAATATAAAAGTAATTAAGGCAATATTATATTAGGTTCGGTATATGTTAACATATTTATTAAAGCAAAAACACTTTTACGTTAAATAGTTGTCTATTTTTAAAGTGATTAGTTTAAAGTTACTTTTTTAAATTCTCAAGAATTTAAACATTTACAGTGCAACTAAACAATTAAATACATTAACATGTGCAACTAAGTATTTATAATTGAGTTATGACAGGTTCCAGTAAGCTGTGTATAAGAAGGTGATAAAAATACTACACTTTATAAAGAAGTACAGACATGTCCACATTATTCTTTAGTTGAAAACTAGTAAAATATTAGGACTGGTACTAGCTGCAACAGGAACCGATAACAAAGCTGGGACAGTTTCTAACAGAAAGTTCGTTATGGCGTAGATAACTTATCCAGTTCGTTTTGCGGTATGCGTCGATAATATGTTTGTTAATATAGGTGACAGCACATCCTACAAAAACATGAGTTACTAGCTTTTGCCTACGACTCCGTCAGCGTGGAATTAAAAAAAACATAAGTGGTCTATGTGTACTTAAAGACTATACTTTACATATATGCCAAATTTTATCGGAATCAGTTCAGCTGGCAAACTTTAACAAAGATCGATCTATCTAAATTTCTAAATTATTTAACTAACCAGGTTATTATTAAAAACACAGGGGGTATATTGCGTGTTGTTAAATTTATTAAATCCGGCATTTGGGGTAGGCGTGTATTACGGGGTAAATTTATGAGACACATGTGTTATTCAACTACCATAACGCATAATGACGACTAATGACGTCATAAGTACAATCTGACTATATCGCAACTTGCATCAAAGATCTAAGTTCAGTGTGACATGAAGGTCACCGCAAGTTGATTATGATAATTTATAAAAGTGTCTCTTTGTACTCTAAATGTATGACCTGGTACCATATAAGTGCGCCATTCATAAACATGTGATCAACAAGGTTCAATCAATTCGCTATTGAATTCAATCGATTCATATGAATGTGTGTGTGACCAATCAACACGAATCATCTCAAACATCAACTTTTTTGCTGAATGAAATTCTTAACAAAGTAGAGTTCAAACAGATTACATAGTACATAAGTACACGTAAGAATCCGTCCATCTATAATAATTATAAAGAGGAAAGATTTGTATTTTCGATTCGATTATAAAAATTCTTTCACCAATTAAAAAACTACATCAGTGAGTGACATAGGGTGTTTTTCACTGTTTTTATTACACGGGGACGAAGTCACGAGCAACAGCTATACTAAATAATGGCGTAATGTCCTGAGCGACTTTTGAATGTTGAACCATTTTATACAATTGATAAATTTGGTGTTACAATACGAACTTCCATGCATTGGTGAATACCTGGGTATTCCCGTTTCTAGTTTGTACAAACGTGAAGCGTAGATCTAACAAGAAAAATGGTAATTTCCACTGATTTAGTTTTAACTAATAGAGTGATTTTCATTCACATTTTACATTGTTTTTATACACATAAAACATTATTGCATTATTTCTTTAATAAACAACGTGTATTTGTAACTGGACTTGAAGATTTACTAACATTCCGTATAGTTACTGAGTTACGAGGGTTTGTTTTCATGTAATCAGTTGATATAGATAATTATTAAGGGCGCGGGCGAGGCCGGGTGCGTCACTTTATTGTATTGTTAAACTTATCTACGGCACAAACATCGACCACTCTAACCAGACCTTTCTTGCTGTTTTATCAATTGCTTAAACAATAATTAAAATGTTTTGATTAATAAAAATATATTAGCATATTTTTAATACCGAGTTACGTTTTCTTTCGTATCTTTTGTTTGAATAACGTCGATTTGGGACAAATTTAATAATGCTTGCATAACAAAACAGATTTCCACAATTTGGGACCTCTCTTCAAATGTCTTACTTTATAAACGGTCAGATAGGAAAATATAAAAAAAAATGTTTACCAATTCTATCGAATATTAAAAAGAAACAGCGAATATGGCTCATTGAACTGGCTAAGGCTACAAGAGGCAGATAGCGGTCTATCGATCCGGCTCACGTTATCTCTTATCGGTATAACGGACGATAACCGAAATGGTTCCCTACTTACTCCATACTCATATCTATAAATCGATACACATTTTTTTTAAAAAGCAAATAAACCTCCATGTCCGATCGCCCAAAGATAAACAGAAAAAAATATGTTTTCGCGCCAACTAAAATTTTACATTTTTTACATCTTCCGTTAATCATTAAACTGTAAATCGGATAACTCTGGTAACTTTACCATCGTGCGGAGATAAATTAAAAAAATAAACTATGAAAGAATCGCACACCCATACCATAACAATCATAAAGTTTTCAATTGACTAAACGAAACAGTTTCGTGGCCTTGAAATCCATTTATACAAGCTGTTTCATGATATAGGCGCGTGCTACAATTACTGGGCTCGGCTATGACTAAACTTATTATATTTAATCAGAACATTTATAATTAATAAATTACATTCATTAAAAAAAGTCACATGTGGCAACACGGTTTAATTTATGGACGCTGACACTTTCCCGCCAAAATAAGCGGGAAAGGATTTTTTTTTCTTTAATAACCTAAGTATGTTATCTGTAATGTAGTTGTAATAGTAACATTTTTGTATAGTCACTTAAAAAAAAACCACATGATTTCAAATTAAGACAAATGAGTAAAGAATCTTCTTTGTATCTAGAAAGGACCCATAAAAACAATATCAGACAGTACTAAATCGAACATTATTCTATGGCCATGGCCCAATTCTTCCCCGCAAATGAAATATTCACCATAAAAATAACCTGAGGCATCTAATCTAATAGCAAATACATTGCAGGGCTCAGCATGATAAGATTGTATAAAACAAACACTGTAATTCAGGTTAATGATTACTGGGACAGATTAGTAAGAATTTTGGAACTAAAATTAACACTTTTGAAGCCAGAATGTCTATCTAAGGGTCGGCAGAGCCTGTTTTGCCATACATTAACCAAACATAACACTTAATTTTAAATATCGCCATGCAACTGCCTAGGATAAATAAAATTGTCAGTCTTCATCAAACTTAGTCCTCTAATTTAGATGTTTGACTACCACAAGAACTTTTTTTTACTAACTTCTCTTTCGGAGTTAAAAAAACCCTAGTCTTATTACTCTCTAATTAAACTCATAATTGGTTTAGTAATTCTAACAACTGCTACATAACACTTAAATAATAGATTTTTATTAATATTGTCCATATTTCTTTTTGAAATAAAATAAAAATAAAACTTATGAAAAAGTTATTTACATTTGATCTGAAAATATATTATAGCAATAGTAAATACTTTTGTTTGATTATTTAATGTATTTTTTATGAATGTTATGTGTGTAAAGCCCTAACTTTTTCGAGATATAAATATTATAACAGCAAGATATTGTTATGAACACGCCTATATATTTGCAAAAACATTTTTCATTTGAAATAATGAAACTAAACAACACTTGAGAATGATGAATGTGGTATTTATGTAAGCATAAATCTCCGGCCAGTACTGGACTAGCAGCCAATGTGTATGCATTATGATTTATTTACAACTAACATTTATGAATATGATAACTTTACAAATTTTAGATTGTGTTAAACCAGTATTTTATTGTGGGAATAACAATTAGGTATAAACAAAATATCAACCATAGACAAAATTAATTTTATCACATCAGAAATTAAAAATCTATCTTTCTTATAGTAACCTATACTGTAAATATATGAAAATAAATATTCTGTTGAATAAAGAACTTTTAAAACAATTGAATGTTTGGATATAATTTTTAAGTTAAATTAAGTTAACTACCATTAGGAAATAATGTCATTAATTGTCATTACAAAAGTTGCAAAATATATTTACAATGCTGATGTAATTGTGGTGTTTTATATTTTAAACAAAATGAATCATTTGAAGAGGTAATATTATACCACTATGAGCCATGTCTTCAATATTATGTTTTGAGTCTGAGTTTTTATTTAAACAATAGAACAGATCTATAAAAACATGTCAATATACAAATAATTTAGTCATGAGGACTTACCTTGCGAAAGGCAAACAGTTCATTTTGAAGTTTCTGTCGTTCAGCAGAGGGCTGTTGACCCTTCCCTCTTATGAATTTTAGCATTCTGCCAGCCTGCAACAAAACAAGCACTTAGATCACTTCACAAACACCACGGCGACAAACAGATAGACAAAACACGAACATACCATTATGATTGCATACTACACTAAATATAAACACAACTATACCGACCGGCATCGAAAAGCCGACTGACTTTAAAGTGCTACTCTAGGCTGTAGGTTTTACATTGCGTTACTAACAGCTATACACCGTCCAGATACGAGCACTTAACTTTAAGTAAGATTCAATCATACCAAGCTAACTGATAACATAATCAATAGTTGTAAGCTTTAAAAACATTAAATATACACTTACGGATACAATTATTTATTAATCCAATGCAAAGGCAACGCCTGTCTAACAGGTTACATGCATGACTTAGTCGATGATAAGCTTACAGATACGAGTGTAGTGATTATCGACGTTCGTTGAAAAATAAGTTTTACGTACCTAAAGACGACAGTTTGGCGACTTTTAGTGATGAATTCCAAAATTAGAGAAATGACAGGCAACTAACAACGGCGTCAGAAATACATACAAACACCAAAAAGCACTAACATATTCATAGCACACAAATGCAAGACGCACTCACACTAAATCAAAACGTGACGTGACTGGTTTTTGGTGTTACTATCTTTACAAAACGCGACAGATAATTAAAGTCTTGTCATAGATTAAATAAGAATAAGAAATCATGAAGAAATATAGTAACGTATAGACGATAAAAATAAAAATCAGTTTATTTTTAGTTTTTTGGTTTAGTTTATTTATTATTTTGAAGCAAACAACAATTAATGCTTTACAATAAAATACAAATACAACTACCGACATCTAGTGGAGTCATTTGATACTTTCGCATGCAAGTATTTTTATGCCCATGTTATGTTCAGATATTTGTTTAGTTCATTGCCGCAATACCTATACACAAATATTTCGATATTGAAAATACACGGCTACATCACCATTCGTAGTTATTCTAAGGTATAAACTGGTGAACAAAATGCGAATCTTCAATTTTTCCGAAATACAAAACCTAGCATTTGGCCCTGAAAACATGAAACCTTTTATGTTAACCATGTTTGTCTTTATTAAACAAAGTGGAATATGTAAACTCACATGTAACATTGTTAACAAGACACCGTGAGATACAACCAAACATCGTTATCGAGAAATCGAATGAAGCGAGGAGCCCATCTGCGGGCGCTATCTAACGTCTGGTACTCGATCCTTTTACTATCCCACGGGACGTGCACGACACGACACGTTAATTGAAATATCACTTTTTAATTTATTAATCGGTGTATTGCAAATACGTTGTTAGATAAAAAGGAAAAATTATACTTTGAAGTAAATAAATCGTAACGAAAAACTTTATTTTATAAAAGACACCTAGCCCAAATATTAGTACAAAGAAAGCTACTATTAATGTCCGTTCAAGAAAAAGGGTTTCCTTTGCCTGTGCAATATGGGGAAGAGAAAGGACGGAAATAGAATAGTTAAATGAAACAGAGTAAACACTAGCGCCTGTTAAATTTTATTATCAAAGCTATGTATCTTATAATTTAAGCTGTTTGAAAACGATAAGCAACAGGGTCTTAAGTAAATTATACAAATTGGCGGTCTCATTCAGCAAAAAGAGGCAACGATTCGTAAGCACTCCGTGGCATTGTAAGCGTCCTTCGAACAGGGACGTTGTCATGGCAACATCGATTGACTTCACCGGGCGCATCTTGCATGGTGCACAACATCAACCTAATAAGCCTTTGCCGGGAGTCGACGGAAAGTTCTCTTTACAGAGTAACGTTCTAGGAGACTCGATCGAACGTTAACTTTGTCGTTCGTTGATCTATTTAAGTAACGAATATTTAATGACTTCGTAACTTCAGATAAAGGAGATTTTATGTTAAAAAAACTAGCTTTTGCCCGCAACTTCATCCGCGTGACATTTAAATAATAAAAAGTAGGTAGCCTATGTGCTCTTCTAGACCATGTTCCACATCTATACCGAATTTCATCCAGATCTGTTCAGCAGATTAGGATACAAACTCTAAGAAACATCCATCCATATAAACTTTGGCATTTATTATATTTGTATGAGTAAATGGTGATATAAGATATACGATGTAAGATAAAAAATATAGTTACGTTATATTTTAATTACACCAGTTTATGCGACATGCATTATTTATTCTAAACTAGCTCTTGCCTACGAATCCGTCTTCATGGAATTAAATAAAACGAAAAAGAGTAGCCTATGTGTTCTTCCAGACTATCCTCTACATCTATACCAAATTTCATCGAAATCCGTTCAGCTGTTTAGGCTACACACTCTAACAGACATCCATCTAAACATTCGAATTTATATTATAATCTTACTTCTTACTAATATTATAAATGCGAAAGTTTAGATGGATGGATGGAAGTTTGTTAGCGTTTGTAGCCTAAACGGATGAACAGATCTCCATGAAAATTGGCACAGGTTTAGAGCATACTCTGGAAGAACACATAGGCTACTTTTTATCCCTGGAATAGTTACGGTTCCCCTGGGATTCATTAATTTAGTTTTTTAATGTTTACTCGATCATTCTGCAACGGTGCAACATATCTTATTGAAATTTGGCACAGATATAAAACAAAGTCTGGAGTACACATGGGATAAGCTTCATCCCATGTGTACTCCAGACATGTCCGGTTCCCGAGGGATACGTAGCTTTTTGTAATTTTTATAGTTTGTATGTCTTCTAATACCACGCGTACGAAGTCGCGGGCAACAGCTCGTATGATATAAATAATAATTCGATTTATAAAATAACGAACGTATAATCTGGTAGCTAATTAATCCCAGTTTGTAGATTTAGATTACACATGGATAGCAGTTAATGAAAACCGTTATCGAGGGAGTATTCCAATTATATATCCCCTGGGTATAGTTTTAGGGATACAGCACGAGTATTAATCAAATTCCTGAAGCGTAATTATTAGCGGATTATTGGTTTTGTGATGAATTACCGTAGAGCTGTTGCACGTATTACTGGGGGCTATTAAAATAAAATAATAGCTTCAGCTATTCTTGGGTTTAAACGGACATCTGCAAGTGCGCACCGTACTAATACAATTGGGAAAACGTACTAGTACACACGTTTAGTACCTTTAGTACTTCAGATTTGTGAGAACACAATAACACGAATAGAATATAACGAGTGTTATATATTACTTCACATAAAATTTTAAGCAGGGTCAAACATATGTTATTAGCGAAAATAAATTTAGTTATTAAATAATTTTATCCACTTTTGATTCTCATTATCGAAGATGGATGCTTCAGCTATCTTCTATCTTCTTATCGAAGACTAGCTTCAGCTATTCAGACAAACCTAGTAATTAAATCTATGGAACAGGACTGGATTTATGTTTTGTATTGCGTAATTAGTTTGTCTGAATGTTAAGAATGTATAATTTCCTTACATTCTGTGCATCGTTGTCTTTTCTAAAATGTAGTGATTGAATTGAACATGTAAGCGTTATTTCTATTAAAAATAAAGATTTATTTATACTTTTACTTATCAGCGCATTTTTAGACGCGATATCTCATTTCCCACTAATTGCAAACGCCTCAATTTTCCGGTTCCGAGAATTAAGTAATTTGTGAAATCGAGTCCTGAGATTTATTTATAGCATCTCAAGATCACACGCCGGCAAAATTAAATTCCAAGATGGCGTCCTACTCAGTAGGAGGACAAATAATGGCCACGCGAAAATTAATTTAACCCTTGACATTCCCTTATTGCGTTCAATTTTAAAGTTATTTGTTATGTAAATAATGCAACGGTTTATATTATTATCACAAAAGAGTTTTAATCTGAATTTATGGAAAACTTTTTATACAAAGTGCCAATTTCTGTCTGTACATTATTATTATCCGCTGTTATTATTATTTGCCTCTAAATCTAAAAAAAAGATTTATATGTTATATTATTTGTTTGAGAATAGTGTGAATTCACGATTGAAAGTCTTCGTAGAAAAAGCTTTATAATTTTGTTCATAGAAAGTTGACTCAAAGAAAATTGGTCCCATATTCGTGCTATAGTTACACAAAATAACATATAAAGGTCCTATCAAGAATATTCGAGTGTAAGTTACGAGAACGCATTCGTAACGTTACGACATTTGTATGGGATTTGTTAGTGTATTTTACTGCCGCTAGGGGCGCTGTACAAATGTAATAGTTTTGTTGATGGTGTTACGGATTTCTCACTAATTTCCGTGATAAGCCCTTTGAATAAATCCAAGGCCAATATCGTGACGCATCGATATTTGTTTTACCAAACACGATAGAGCCTGGATGATTCAGGGGTAGATTCTTAGAAATGAAAATGCCCCAATAATAATAAAATATTCTATGTATTTTATTGAACTCACATACCAAAAGCATCTTAGAAATAAAATCATTACAAAGTTTCTTGAAAGTCTAATAATTATAACAATTTTCAGAATACAGTTATGTATTTTAACAGCATTTTAGATTTAATTAAAAGTGCATGGAAACACTAAAACAAAAATGGGTAAGAGCAAAAGGGACTGTTCGGTTTGTTAAATAAAACCCCTTTTCTCGTTAAAAAAAAAATTTAATTGCTGACAAATACAAAAGTGGCAAAGACAGACCGAAGGTCGAAAAGGGCAGGAGAGCGGAAGAAAGGAGTATAAAATGCGTGTCATCGCTGCCAGGAGTGGCGTGCTGGTTTAATATTAATTTAGTTAACATATGACGTGGCTGTCTACGTACCACGTACCAATCGTACATCGATGACGGCGTGCATAAATCGCAGCTGGAGCTACCGGCGACGTTGACCTCATAGAAGCACAGGTGGTGCGACCCTAAATGTCACGGCCGAAACAA